CAAGAATTCAATACTGGCGTCATTCCGCAGGCAGAGTTTCAGGCGCTTCTGGTGCTCTTAAAGCACATGCTTGCGTGGAAGCCCGAGGACCGGCCGACCATTGCCCAGGTACTCCACTCGGATTGGGCGAGGAACTGGGGTTTGCCGGCCTATCAGGCGAGTCTAAATCAAGGATCGAAATGATACCGTCAAAGACTAGCAGCTTACGTGGCGACAAACGAACAATATCCGGGCAGCAGGGCCGTGACCACGTAGTGCAATAGTACACACATCCCGCTTGACTTCCAGGCTATCGCGTCCTTTCAATTCTTCTTAAACGCGCCCCGGCTGATTTTGTCCACCAGCATCTTCATCCCGTCCCCGACTCAGATCACTAGGCCGTTTCGCAGGCACGCGTATGGAATGGCTCTCTTGTGACCGATGACCGAGCTCCAGGACCTCGACCTCCGATGTTTGGTGTCACTTTGTTACTCCACTGGTGCCCGACCACAGGATATTTTGCGGCTACGCCCATACAAGTTCGATTCGTGCTGGCTTCTAGTCCAGATGAGGAACCACAATGTGTCATGATTTAGTTGTCGGGGTAGGTATCTCTTTGGTCTCTGGCCTGCCTAACATGGGTCGCTGACCTGCAGCAGCAAGACTTTCAGTTTCCCGAAATCTTCCTGTCCTTCTAGTCCTTACACCCACCTCCTAGCCAGACTGTTCACGAAATCTTCCTGTCCTTCTAGTCCTTACATCCACCTCCTAGCCAGACTGTTCAAGTACCGTGCCCTCCAAGCCTCAGCTGCGCAGTTGGAGAACACGGGAATTCCTCGAAGCAATCCGGAATTGCTCTTGAACGACGCGCGGTTGTTCTGCCGTGCGGAAGATGCTCCTTGTCGACCGTGGATGCTGGGGGCCGAATGTCTAGCAGGCGAAGACGGCAGCGGCTTGGGTGCAGCTTCAAAAGTCACAATGGCATTCCGACGTTCCTGCCAGCCTCACCCACGCCGAAGTGTTCTCCTCCGCCATCATGAGCGTCCCCAGAGTGTTGCGCGAATTTTGCCACCGGATCCGTCGGTGCCACCCAGCGAATGCGTTGTAGCCAAGCTCCCAGTAGAATTGGTCACGATGATCCTGGAGAACCCCTATGACATAGAGGCTTTGGCCTCGACCGATGCGACGTGCAAACTCCTCAGACAGCTGATTCTCGATCACAGCCGACAGATTACGTCTGGAATATTCACCAATGCTCGCAGAAGAGTAAGGCGATGGAGAGTTGCAAAATTCTTCTGCCAGCTTCGATCCGCTGTTTCTTGGTCCTGGCTACCAAGAAGCGACGTGCAGCTGGCGTTGGCGCGATCCTGGCCCATTTTCTTGGAGCAGAGTTGGGAGGAGTTACTTCTTCCACTGGTGGCATCGCTTGCTCAGGAATACTGTGCCCAGAAGCAAGAAGATGCAGCTGTCCACCTGTTGACTAAATTTTGGCGTGGGCAGGCTCTATTTTGTCACCGGCCCCCGGAGGATACCGCAGCTGAACCAATTCCCCTGCGACCGAGTTATTCGATCATTGGATCCAAGTTGCGGGACTTGGTCAAGGATTCCGAAGTTAAAACCCTGATCGACGACGAGATGAAGCAACTAACGGTGCCACTCCCTTTTTGGGTTGACCAGTTCAGCGAGGCACCCGAGCCAAGCAGTGGTCGAGGCGCCATCCCAGTCTTCTGTTCGCCAAAAAGGCAACTCGACTATCCCGTGGCAGAGAGGCTCTATAACCGCTATCGAGGTACAGGGCGCCGAGGGTAGCCATGTCGATTGATCGCCGAATGTCAGCGTTCTTCATGGAAAGGGCGTCCGGTGCAAGCGTCCAGTGCAGGCGTCCGGCGCACCATGACATTGATCGGCAGGGCTCATTTGCGCTTGCCGCGGTGCTCGACTGGGCTTTCTTGTCAGGATACTCAGCAGCTCTCGCGCACCACGCTGAGTCCGTACCAACCTGCCTCTGCGCGGCCCTTTGGCTTGATCCTGCCGTTTGGTCGCTTGCGGGCTCGCATGGACGCATCGATCGGATCGGAGTACACATCTTAAGCTCGTTGGAAGGCTTGGTCCACAGCCCGCAGGATCAGGAGATCTGAGGTGGCGAAGCAGAAAGAGGCTGGCCGAGGCGGCGAGCTTGTCGGGGGTGACATGAGCCGCTGGGGCCGGAGGTGGCCGACTGCCAGTGTCTGGTTGCTGGGCGCGGGGGCAAGAGATGAAGAATCGGGCTCAGTTGAGCCTGCACTTGGATCGTGACAGGCTGGTCGGAAATTCGACATGACTGTCGGCGGCACAGATCTGTAGAGTTTGGCTGAGGGCGTAAGCGATGGTATGCATAACGATCAGAATGAGAGCAAGCCTATGGATGTCCAATTATGTAAAGCGACAAGGTGATTGTGTAGCGTCGTCAGTCATTTCGCTGGCGAGGCCGCAAAAGAAATCCGATCATGTACATCTGAAATACGATAACGGTCAGTTACCTCGCTCCTATTTTGAACATTATATTTACGGAAAGAGAACGTGGTAAAGCAACCTAGGTGCAAGGTCATACAATACAGAATATCATTTAGTGGAATCTGCAACATTATCTACCTCGACTTCTTGCGCCGGGTCATCCTTCTGTCCCTGTGCTTCTTATTTCGCCGAACACTAGCCTGTTCCTCTGACCGCAGCGTGACTTGGTGGACTATAAGGACATGGTTTCGAAAGTGGTCTACTGATGTCAACTTGACATCAGCACACTTGGGGTGCTCACGGCGGATATGATGTCCGCGGCCATGAGCCAGCTCTCGTGACTGGAGGTGTTGGTCATCGAAGTGGTCATTGCGAATGGTGGGCGACAGTAATTGAAAACTCGCTCTTCTCGTGACAGCCGTTCATCTCCAATACATACGGGACCCTGGGTTGGGCCCATCAGGAAGGGAAAGGGGTCAGACGTGCGCTCGATCTCTCGAACTGGCGACTCTGGTTTCGCGAAAGACTTGGGCTGCCTGCGTGTCCGGCGTCCGTCCTGGCCCTGGTTGTTATAACGAGATCAAAATAGGGAGGTGCTTAAGGTACTGCTTCTCAGGACACTACAAGTGCAGTTAGAGACTCATTTAGCCCGAAGTGTATGACGATTAGTCTGCTGGCGGCCCCACAAGGCCCGAGAGTCCGACTTCTCAGTCTACCCCATGCTCAATACCCCGACAGTCCAAGTTGATGATATTCCCCGCCCTTATTACACCGATTATCCAAATTATCCGGGGTATCGGCCGCCCGGCATATTTCAGAAAGCAGATCCTGAATCTATATAAGCAGAACAGGTTAGCTATTCATCTTTCACTGTTTGACTATGAGCTGCATCGTACCTGGCTCAGTCTTCAACGAAAATCACCCGCAACATGCGTTCATTCTTAATAAACTTGGCGACGATCGCCTGCATTTTAGCTTCTATTTCTGGTGGTTCTGGCCAAAGAACCATGGAGAGACTTGGCCGCGGGATTGTCGCTGTACGCTCGAGCAATACGGATGTGCTCATCTCGTGGCGTCTTCTGGGCCTCGATCCAGACGACATCGCTTTCAATCTTTATCGAACCGCCATCGACAACAATCGGGTCAAACTTAATACCGCAGCACTACGTGATGGGACAAATTTTGTTGATCGCTCGGCAGACTTGACTCAAGAGAATACCTATACAGTTCGACCCGTGGTCGATGGACAAGAGGGGGCTGTTGGTGGTACTTTTACGCTATCGGCAGACAACGCTGTTGAGCCTGTCGTCCGAATTCCCATTAGCAAGGGCGGCCCAATCAAATTTGTCTGGGTCGGCGATCTGGATGGCGATGGAGAATATGATTACGTTCTCGATCGACAAACCTCGCCTCAACTTCTTGAGGCGTACGCAAGCAATGGGACCTTCCTATGGCAAGTCAATATGGGTCCCAACAGCGAAAGTCAGGATAACATATCTCCGGGCTCCTCAGCAAACAATCTGGGTCATTGGGACGGTGTCACAGTTTATGATTTCGACAGCGATGGCCGAGCCGAGGTGGCCGTCCGAATCGCCAATGGAGTCACCTTTGGCGACGGGCAGCGTTTCACACACGCAAACGATGACGAGCAGTTCATCGCCATTCTAGATGGACGCACTCGCGCGCTTCGCGCGCGAGCTCAGATCCCTACCGATTACATCTCCGACGGTCCCTTGGCTGCGAGATTTGGAGTCGGCTACCTCGATGGCCGGCAGCCCTCTCTCGTTGCCTATATGAAGAATCGCAAAGAAGGACCGACATCAACCTCCTGGTGTCTGCGTGGAGTTTCAGTGGCACTGCTCTGAAGATACAATGGAAGTGGCGTCGAGAGGGTCAAGATGCTCCCGACGGCCATAACACCCGGATCATCGACGTTGATGGTGATGGTCAAGATGAAGTGCACGAAATCGGGTTCACCCTCAACGGCGATGGCCAGCTCCGCTACTCGTTGGGCCCACAAGGCATTGTCCATGGCGATCGATTCCACATTGCTAAGATGGACCCACAACGCACCGGCCTGCAAGGGTATGGTATTCAACAGAATAACCCAAACGGACTTCTTGAGTACTATTACGACGCCACTCAGGGAAAGATCATTTGGAAGCACTCATTGCCTGAGGGAATCGCCGACGTTGGTCGCGGCTTAGTAGGAGACATCGATCCAACAAGTCCGGGAATGGAGGTCTGGTCTTTTTCTGGTGTTTACAATGGCCCGAGCAACCAGCTTCTTGAACAAAACACTACCCTCGCTCCATGGCCTCATCTGGGTCTCTACTGGGATGGCGATATCTTGATGGAGCTTTACAACGATGGGAAAATTGAGAAATGGGACTGGGAGTCTCCTTCCACAAGTAACAGTGTCCCGCGGCTTGTGACTACGAGGAATTTCGGCGCTGGGAGCAATACAGGACGCAATCCTGCTTTTCACGGCGACATCCTCGGCGACTGGCGAGAGGAGGTCATCTTGGTGAGCCCAGAAAATGACGAACTCATCATCTTTACGGCCGATCGTCCATCTGATATTCGACTCTATACCCTCGCGCACAACCCAGCGTATAGAAACTCGATGACCCTCAAGGGGTATGTTCAAAGCCATCATCTTGACTACTTCATCGGGCAAAACATGAGCAAGCCTCCTCGACCGAACATTCGATATGCGGGCACTTCACAGTGCACAGGTCGGCAACTGACAAAATCTGTGATATAGCTGCCTTCTTGCTATTCTATCTACATGATGTCAGCAGCCAGGTGGCTTAGGAGTGCCTGGGTGGATAGGACTAGGCTATCGCCCGACTTTCCGAGGAATTCTATATAGGTTTATTCATTCTTCAAAAATGCACATTCTTTTCGCGAAGCTGAATCTTCCGTAAGATAGTGAGACTTTGTTTCGGGATGATGGAGCAACTGAAGGTTTAGATAAGCGTCATAAGAGACGTACAACAGACTTTCCCAGGAGCATATAGAGAACGCATCTGACATGCGATTTCCACAAGGTCGTATACCAGTCCATAACCTTGAAACTTAGAAAAGCTCGACTCTTTTGAGAGCTCGGGGAAGACATTCTAGATGCCTGCTGGCAACTAGTCTCGAAATTGATCCGTTATACTATGAGGCTTTTGGTTTAATCCCAATTCAAGCTGAGTTTGTACTTAACTGACTGGCTTAGTCGATGTTGAGTCCCATGTGAGATGGTCCAACAAAATAGTTAAAACCTCAATAATACCTTAATAGTGAAAGTGTCATGTCTGAATGAATACTATTCTGCACTGATCGGCCACATATTGATGGAGCTGGATGCTTCGCAACGATTGTAGGGTTATATTTGGATTGGAGCCAGAAGTCTTCAATTCTCTTATGATCTGTCTTGTTAGATTATCTTGACTGATACTAAAGCAAAAAGCAAAACGCAATTATGTTCGAAACTTCTGTACCCTTTATGTTGCCAACACTTCCATTCCATTTTGAACTAGGGCTGCAGCCCAACCTTTGATGTGCCGCTGCCCATTGACCACCTAGACTAATTGATAGTGGTACAAAAGCCAACGTGGTGGTAACAAGTTAGTTACTAGATTAGAACCAAAGATAATCAATGGATCCTCACTTAGCGTATTGTCGAGGCTACTCAGAGTGGTGATGCTGCGAGTGTTGCCTTTTGAGATGACTCAAACATTCTGGCTGTGAGTTTCACCAGCGAATGGTGGGCTGTAGCGGCCTCTGGGTGCGAATACTGGACTAGGCCACTGCGAGCGACAGCCAGACCGACACGGGTCCCGGGCCGCGAGTTTGTCGTGCATTATCTCTCTTGAGATGTATCCGCTCAAGAGAAAGAACCTCCCATCTTATAAAACTGATGAAATAGATGGCATGCATAGTAAACCAAGCATACACGAAGTCGAGTGAAAACTGATGTATGTCAAGTCTTGGCCGCTTTTCAATGAGCTGTGAAAGGTCCGAAGCGGCACAAAGCAACCTGCCGATAGAATGCATCGATGAAACCAAGGATAGCCATTAATCAGCGGCTTTCTATGAGATAGGTGACACTTCTGAGAAGGAAGCTAACGTTGGTGAACCGATCATATGTTTACTAAACGGGCTTCCACAAGGTCTGAACCCTGCACTTTATACGATGTGAATTGCGTCTTGTGGAATTTGATGCCGAATCGGGTTCCCAGACAAGGGTTGCTCAGTAGGCAGGCCTCTAGTACGGGAAATCTATTGACCCCTATTTATTAACCTCGTATCCCTAGCTTAGTTACGTCACGAGGCCCCATAGATCGTCCCAAAGAGCCGTGGCGGGTTTATTTAAAATGGTTGCAGCCGGCACTCAATTGAGAAGTATGCCATGCGACACCGCATGTATCGCATATATCGCCGATGATGCTTTCGCACCTTGTATTCGTTCTACTGGCAACCATTCGGCTGGCCGTCGGTTCCAAGCCCGGCTTTGTCCAACCATCCCATGGCTACATCGTTGAGTACAAGGATGGCATCACAAAGCGCGACAGCATATTCTCTCACCATGCCAACGTCAAGATCGTACGCGATTTCCACAGCGACATTTTCTATGTCGCGAACATCGAAGCCGACAAACGTACTATTGAGGAGCTCCTGGCTCTGCCCGACGTAGCCCGTATTTGGCCTAACCGCGTTTACGAACCAATGAGGGTCATTATGCGAGATTCGACAGACAATTCAACCAACCTGCCACCTGGTGCTGGACTCGACCCCGACTTCTACGACGTGCACAATTCAACGGGCGTATGGGCTCTGCATCAACAAGGTATCAAGGGCAAAGGCGTCAAGATTGCTGTTGTGGATACGGGTGTCGACTACACTCACCCCGACCTGGGCGGCGGGTTCGGGCCGGGGTTCAGGGTTGCTGGTGGATATGACTTTGCAGGGGATGGTAATTGGCCCAAAGGCCCTAGGGAGCCTGACGAAGACCCAATGGGCCTGCAAGACCATGGCACGCACGTTGCCGGCATTGTTGCTGGCAAGGGTGAAAAATGGAGCGGCGTCGCACCGGAAGCCACTATCTACGCATACAAAACGTACGCGCGGGACGGCACCGACGAGGCCATCAACATTGACGCTTTTCTCGCGGCGTACGAGGCCGGCGTTGATATTATCACAGCGAGTATTGGTCTTGGCGGCGGATGGTCTGATGGTGCTTGGGAGGAGGTCGCGACGCGCCTTGCAGCCAAGGGCGTTGTCATCACAGTGTCTGTTGGCAATGGTGGCGACGGTGGACCTTTCCGTGCCTTGTCTCCTTCTGGTGCCAAGGGCGTCCTTGCTGTTTCCAACGTTGATACATTCTGGAACCGCGATGCAAACATTGTCACACCCGAGTCTACGACTTCTTGGGGACCCCTCTTCGACCTCCAGCTAAAACCCGACGTCGGCGCCCCGGGAACGAACATCTACAGCACAGTGTTCAACCACGGCTGGGCTGTGTACAGTGGTACTTCCATGGCGACGCCCTATCTTGCAGGAGTTGCAGCACTCTATATCGGCCACTTTGGCGGTCGTGGTACGCAGCACGGAGCTGAATTTGCTAAGTTCATGCACAACCGCCTCGTCTCTAACGTTCGCAAGGTCAACCAGTGGAGCTGGAGCGATCCAACGGCTACTATCGCACAAGTTGGGAGCGGATTGATCAACGCCACGAGTCTTTTCGCTTCGAAAACGGACTTGGTTTACGAGCCCATGGCCCTGAACGACACTCGATTCTTCTCTCGCTATCATAAGGTCACGGTTATCAACAACAGCGACAAGCCCGTGGAGTATCAATTCACCAAAGAAGACTCGATTGGTGTGAATACTCTGGGCAACGGTGACTACGACACGATCATCAAGGAGTTCGGCTACCTACAGTGGAATGCGTATTCCATCAATGCCACTCTACCCAAAACATTCACCCTCAAGCCTGGCAAGAGTAAAGAGGTCACCGTCACCTTCCAGAATCCTGACATGTCAGACTGGTACAAGCCAGTCCTGCCCCTTTACAGTGGCAACATCTTTATCACGGGGTCAACGGCGATCGTTTAGCCGTGCCGTTCCTCGGCGTGGGCGCTGACCTGAAGCGCACCTTTAAGAAGATGTTCCTGACTGAGCCACAAATGCGGTCGCTCGATCCGCCCGTCGTGCAGGGCCTTAATGGTTCCGTTCCGACCTTTTCTTTCAACCTCACCGCCCAGGATTTCCCCCATCATCGATGCCGGTATCGGTTGGGCCACACGTCAATTACGATATGACATCTTCGCGAAGGGTTGGGAGAAGCGATCGTGGTACTGGCCTCTCGTGCCTGGTAAAAATGGATACGTGGGTTCAGGGACTTGGTGGGTAGGCTCCGGACAGGTGCCCAAGTGGTTCGACACGTTGGGTTGGAACCCAGACGAAACGATCGACTATCCCCAAGTCAACACTGGTCGAGCTGCAGGCATGCCGGGATACGACAAGCGTGAGTACTGGTGGTTCGGCAAGCTTGCAAACGGCACCAAGATTGCCGATGGTGAGTATGTATTGAGGTTCGCAGCCTTGGTGCCCTTTGGCCGACCGGAGGCAGCGGACAATTGGGATGCCTGGACCTTGCCGTTCAGAGTCAAAGAATAGTACACATCGTAGAATTTTCGAGACATTGTAAGATCCGATAACACTTGTAATCCAAACTTGCCCCGCCGCACCAGGACGCGTATGACCTACTAGGGAACGCGTCTGGGCCATACAGTGTATCCACAGTACTTACTGCCCACGCACACGCGGTCTCCCCGCTCGAAAACCCCTCGACCAGTATTACATCACGAGGTGTAGGTAAGGCACTGCATATTCGATGACCGGCATGGACCATCTCGAGGAGCACTCGCGCACTGATCCTCTTCGCATCGGCGTCGCATCAACGCGTGACATTCGTACCGAGAGACCGGGTCTCGTCGTTTTTTCGGGCGGCAGCGCGGCAAACAGTCTGGTTGATGTGTTTGAACACGTGCGCCATCTCAATGACTTTACACTTAGCTACGTAATCCCCATCTCGGACAACGGCGGCAGCTCAAGCGAAATCATCCGAGTATTTGGCGGGCCAGGTGAGTCTTTACTCAGGTATCATGCAAGGTTAGCTAATCGCACCTTAGGTATCGGCGATGTCAGATCGCGACTGGTTCGTCTCATACCAGACGACAGTCCAGAGAAGACAGCCATCAAGGGCCTTTTCAATCATCGCCTGGCAAAGGACTATCGGGAAGCTCGCGAGGGCTGGAGCTCCATCCTGGAAGGCTCACATGCTCTATGGCGTGGCGTTTCTACGCCGAAGAAGGAGCTTGTCAGGTCATTGCTAAATCACTTCAACCTTGAAGTCATCAAGCGGACGCGACCGACCAGCAAATTCGACTTTTCTGGTGCAAGCATTGGCAACCTGTTCCTGACGGGGGCCAGGCTTTTCACTGGTAGTTTTGAGGCCGCCATCTATCTTCTAAGTTCTGTCTGTGCGGTTCCTGATCACATTTCGGTGTTGCCGGCGCTTAATACAAACTTCGCAAACCACATCGCTGCTGGCCTCGGTGACGGCACTGTCGTTATTGGTCAAAACGATATCTCGCACCCGAGCGCGCCATCCAATGCCGTGCCGCTACCAGGAACATTGGCCATGTGGACGGAGCATGCGGATGCTGTCGAGGACGCCAATCTCCCCGGCTCCCACCCGGCGCTGAGAAGGCCTGCGATCGAGTTTTCCAAGCAGGGCGAGGAAGAACTGCCGGCGCGAATTGAGAAGATCTGGTATATCAACCCATACGGCCAGGAAATACGTCTGCCAGCGAACCCGCGGGTACTAGACTCAATTGCCAGTTGCAAAGCAGTTATTTACAGTGTTGGATCTCTTTTCACTTCGATTATCCCTAGCCTCATCCTCAGCGGAGTTGGGGACCACATTGCGGATCCGTCCATACGTACAAAAGTGCTCATACTCAACGGCTGCATCGATCGGGAGACTGGCCCGTCAACTGAGCCTTACACGGCATTGGATATCATCGGAGCGGTTGCTGCCGCATGTGCAGGCTCTCGAGGACGCTCTCGGCCTGAGGAGATGGAATACTCTACTTATGTCACCCACCTGATTTATGTCGAGAGTTCGTTATCTCCTTCCGTCGACAAGACTAGGCTCAACGAGCTCGGAATTGACGTACTGCGCGTTTATGGCATGAAGACGGATCAATATGGAGGCCGGTACGACCCCAAGGCTTTGATGCAAACACTTGAAGCGATCATAGGGCGAGCCGACAAACGACTGGACAGGAGCCGGCGAAACACGTTGGATGCATGAACAATTGAGTTAGTCGGATATTCATCTAGTTCCCTATACACTCGAACGTTAGCTAGTGAACACTAGTCACGGGCCTACATCTTAATGTAGTGATAGAAAGGCTCCTCATATCACCTATCTTATATTGCTTGGCGCGATGTCTGATTTCGCGTCACAGGAGCTATCCGAGGAGGCACATGCGGAGGCCAGGACAGGGCTTGGCGTAGGGGGCTCGAGACCTTGGCAGAATCTTTCTGGGCTGTGACGTACAGAGGGCCATAATTCAGATGTGTTCTTTACCTTTACTAAACAATGTACTGCAGTCATCACTCGCGAAAGACTCCTTCACTCTGGTCCGCCCCTCGCTCTGACAGGGGAAAAGTGAAAGTGTCAGATTATTCGACGAGGAACCGAGAAAATAAAGGCGTCCAGACCGATGCCTTTTCAAGATATTGACTCCTCAATATGTCAGCTCCGCGGCCCACCTTGTGGGACTCGCTGTGACTTATTCATCTCATCAGATAGTCTGGACCAAGTCTGGCTAATAATAACGACATGAAGCCGCCTACCAGTCATCGAGGGTTCAGATGGCACCTGCTCGAATCAAGTGCACACCAGCTGCGAGTCACGCTAGGCATCCTGCCACCATCTCGCTCGACTAGCTGAATCGCGGATGGCTTGATGTTCCTTAGCCTACCGCACAGATCCCGTAACTACGTTCGTGGCGACTCAGCAACTCCACAAGATCGACATCCTTCAGTTCGGGGATAAGCAGTTTTGATCCTACTGTTTTCGCTACAGGGCAGGTCCTTTCTAGCTTGGCCGTTCGCTCGACTAGCCAAGCCATGATACCTCGCTACAGCTCAAGTAGCCATGTGCCCGCAGATCTAGCGTGCTCAAGCGGAGCGCGACGCGAGCTTCGACACCACACAGACCTCTCGATGTGCATGATCAATTGGTCTGACCCAGTAATTCACGGGCTTGAAAACATTGGATGAAAACGTGTGAAGCGCGGATGTAGCCTGCTCATGATTCACGAGCGGCGGCACGCCCCGCTGGATGTGATGTTGGATTCGCATGCTTGGGTCATGCGGAACTGTCCTTTAATATAACGCGTTTTCTTTTTTTGTGCATGCTTCTTCTAGCTTTCGGGTCCCAGCCATCATGCCCTCAACATTAACCTCGTCATACTAAGGTTCCACAGGTTTGTTGAAGGATCATGACACGCCCAAACTCGGTATTATTCATGCTGCTGGCAGTTGTGGCCGTCGTAAGCTCGGCGCAGCAAGATCTATTCAAATACATGAATGAGATACCGGATTGCGCAGTAAGTTACCTCTTTTGCAGGTTTTGATCTTTGGGGGCGTCCCATTACTAATAGGTCTTCAATGGTCATCTGAAGATCACATGTATTCTCCAGGAGGTTCCTGGATCAACCTGCAACATTGTCACGAATTCGACATGTCTTTGCACTGATGAGTACTTGCGGAAAGCTACACAAGTATGCGTCAGGAGCAGCTGCGAGTCCATGTTAGATGCTCTAAGTACGCTCCCTTATCGCTAGCGCGGTCTTTTATTGTTCGGTATCAAATTCTGATCTCATCTTCCGCCAACAGAAGCATCAAAGGTGGAAGCAGAAGCATGTCAACGTCCACATCGTGACCGGCGATCGTCACTACTGTCATCTATACCAGTTCAGATTCTTACTGTCCTCGTAATAGCTCTGCGAATGGTCTCGCGTTGGAGTATGTCGCACTCATTCGAGCCTGATGATTGGATCATGACTGCTTGTCTCGTACGCTGCCCGACAACATCCAGATTCAATAACGAAAGAGTCTTGCTCACGAACAGCCGCAGATACTATACGTCCCATTTTGCGTGATTGGAACATACGGTACGTTTCTTTCCTGGCGGATTCAGGCTTGTTTCGCGACGAAACTGACCTCATTTTAGTTGGCCGCCTCGCGTTTGGCAGAGACGTCTGGACAGTCGAGCCTGATGACCTGACCTACGCCCTGAAGCTCTTCTATATTGCTCAAACATTGTACATGCTGTGCCTCGCATTGCCAAAAATCGCCATTTTGACATTCTTTCTTCGCATCTTTCCCAGTCAAGGGTTTCGCAGAGTCACGTACCTTGTCATTGGTCTGATTGGTCTTTCTACTACCATCACAACGTTTCTGCAGATCTTCCAGTGCACACCTATACGGTTCAACTGGGAGGGGTGGAAGGGCCAGTTTGGTCAACATCACTGCATGAATTTGAATGCTCTAGCATTTGCATGTGCTGGTCTGAGCATTCTACAGGACCTCGTTGTTCTCGTGTTACCTCTGCCCCAGTTGCTGCGCCTTAAGGTGTCGCGGCGGACAAAGGCTGGAGTCATCTTCATGTTCAGTCTAGGCATCTTCATCCTTATCACATCTTGTGTCAGACTACGATACATCATTGTTTTCGCAAGATCACTAAATCCGACTTGGGATTATGTCGACGCCCTCATTTGGTCAGGGACGGAGATATCCGTTTCGATGATCGTTGTTAGTCTGCCAGCAATCCGATTACTTTTGTCAAAGATCGTACCTGGCATGTTCAGCACCAGAGCATCACGGAATGGGTGGTCATTCAAGACTACTAGACAGACCGATGGGCAAGATCTTTCAAGCCAATGCACCTCACGCAGGGACGCTCTGCAGCTTGAGGCTGCCGAGAGTGAGCACCGTGAAAATGGTTTGGAGAAGTGTCAAAGCCAAGGAAGCCACAAGCCGCTCAGACCGCTTTCCAAGATTTTACATCCTGCATTCTATGATTTCAAAACTACATCAGGGCCCGACTTTGGGGAAAGTCAAGAGGCTCTGGAGCTTGGCGAAAGGATCAAGTAATCTACAGGTCAACCACGGGCCCTTTTCAGAATACATCAGCCGAACAACCAACATGGAATCATATTTTACGAATATCTATGGAACAATCACAACTCAGCAATAACATGAGTTTCATCAAAGCTATATGCATGTCTGGAACGGATGATGGAGATTTGCCATGACAGATTTCTGGTCCCTAACGGCGTCTAGTTCAAGCTAACTAGATCGACTTCAGTCCAAATATTTATTTACATATACTATTATGGGCCTGAAAGATGCGCAAGAATAGCTTCCATCAGCGCCTGGCCGCTCAGTGCTTCTCCAGTGGCAGGTGCTGCAGGTGTGGCCGTGCCAGCCGGCGGAGCGGGTACCGCTGGCGGAGCTGCGACTGCGGCGGGATCCGGGATGAAGAAGGCGAATTCTCCGTTGATGTTGGCCACGGTGACAGTCAGTTCGTTTTCTTCTCGCTCGAACTCCAGCTCGCCGACGGCAGGTCCAATGACAAAGGCGTTTGTTTCGGTGCACAAGCGAGCAGCCTGGCCTTTGCTAATGTCCAGAGTATCTGGTGTCTGTTAGTTGCGCTGAGCCGTCGGCAAATGAAGATTTAACTGACTGTTGGCGTTCAGAATGTAATCTACTTTCTGAAGCGTAAGACCACCCGTGCCTTCAGCGAGGGAGATGATCCAAGAAACAGGTTCAACAGCAATAAACCCAACGGGCGGAGCAGCTGGGCTTTTATTCTCAGTGACTGTCAAGGTGCGCCCCACAGGGCCTTGTAATTCAACCTCGAAGACACCGTTGACCTTTGAGAAGTCAGGATGGAGACGTGGAAGCAACAGAGCATTCAACTTACACCAGGAGGATACAGTGTGTCAGTCTTGATGTCGTTGCCTCCAACTGCGATGGGTGTGTCGAACTGAGCTTGCTGCTCGACCTCGTTCGCTTTATTCTCCCCTCCGGCTTCGCCACCGACCGCGGGCTCACTAGCACCTGTTTCAGCTTCCGCACCAGTCTCGCCTGCATCGGCAGCTCGTCCGCCTCGAGAGACAAGAGCGCTGCCGCGATCATTTGAGGTAGGCAACGCGACGACAGCTGAGAACTGAGCAGCAACGAGAGTAATCCAAGAAAGCTTCATATTGAAGGATGAGGACAAGAAGTATAAGACTGCAAAAATTGAGTAACCGATAGCTAGAAGTGAGAACAGGGGCGGTCCAGCCGAAAGAACGTGATAGAAGTCAGAACAAGCTCACTAAGAGAAGGTGAAGCCGATGATGTGAAAGGAAAATATGATACGGGAGCCGATTGCCAGCCGATCTTTATACATTGCACCACCAAGCTGTCTGGCGTCAATTGACACTCGGGTAAAACTTCCTGGCCGCAATGAAACCTTCCTTGCCCCCGTTAGTGAAGATGCAGTTGAGCATCGTGAGAGCAGACCGTGGCCCCACCCCCGCACAGGGTTTCAGACGACAGCCAGCGATGTGGTATATATAGACCTCAAACAGCCAAGACAATTGGACGATGCCTCCTGCGGAGAATGTGCGCCAAACTAGTCGTCTCTTCTCAAGAGATGGCAGTTTTTTTTCGTCGTCCGAAGGAGCCGCACCAGTTTCACAGTGCATACAGGCAGGCCGACTTGGCGTTATGTGGAGATGCCAAGGCGCGAACGTGCCATGAAGCCCGCCACTGTTTGAACAAGCATGCGATGTATGGTCAACGCAGAACTGTTCCGCGAGCTCAAAATATCATGTGCAGATACAAGCGATGGCGGTTTGGTCGGAGCGAAGCGTTCGGTGTATCGTAATAACCATGGTTGCCCCCGACGACGCATGCAATTTCACTCCCAGGACAGCAAAGGCCGGGTTGGGCAAGACGAAGTAAAGAAGTACGGGCGCCATCAAATGAGCTAGGTACCTTTCGTATAGATCCCACACGCTCTTCAATGGAAAGACAGGCGTTCAGATCATATCTTATCGGTAGGCGTTAATCGTCAAGTAAGCACACTCATGCGGCCAATGTCAAGTGGTTCATGGCATTGCATCAGCCGTGAGAGGCTACAGTGATGAGAAGTCGGATTAAGGTGTGGGCCAGAGACCTCTTCGACTTGTTGTGCTTGATGTCGGGTGACACGCTGTGCTCACCAGAACACAGCATCTCAAGAACGCATGTGCCGGCTGGGTCACAGGCGAGATTTGGGGTGCGGGCACACCCACAATTCGCCGGCGATCTCCCCAAGCCCCCCATGGAGATGCCACGAAGTGTGTGGGGAAGGGCATTTCGGCCGCTGGCCGATATTGACCGGGGATCACGAGCGAAGGCCGACTGACTGCCTTCGAAAGGGCACGACGGACGACCCCGTGGCAAAATCGCCGAGACAGAAGACAGAATGTGGTGCGTCGGGGTGGCAGCGAGGTCTACCAACTTAACGACAAAGTTGCATCGCCATCTGTGTTGGGGTTGGCACTCGAGACAGAGAGCCACGGACCTCGAATGCTCACAACATGGCGGCCTTGTCACGATGGACAGGATGTGGCAGCTTGTCTACATTGTGAAAGACTAGCCGGCGAACGGCTGCTATAAAGCGGGAACAAGAAGACACTCCCAAAATATGTGACTCGCACAGCAGCTTATCCTCATGACCATCACCATGCAATTTCTTACCTTTCTCTTTGCTCTGACGGCCTCAGCCGCTACATTTACTCTGAACGACTTCACTAGGGCCTGGCCGGGCGGTGTTGACAATGTCATCGTGACAGAGACCAACACGCTGAACGGCACGGTCAACAGTGAGATTAGACCTGCCAGAGCGCCTCTACCCGGAAATCTACCGCTTAGTCTCGTCAACAACTTTGCTGGAGAATTATTGAACGCCTACATTTCGGGACTCGACTCGAATGGCGCGGTAGTATTTTTAGCTGCGGACGGCAGTTTGGTCTATCCAACCTCCGGCGGCTCCAGCGTCCCGGTGCCGATTGACGCCGACATCGCCATTCCGCTGCCTTCAAGGGGGCAGACATTGCGCATAACACTGCCAATCGCTCTGAGCTCGGGTCGCGTGTATTTCTCGGCTGGGAAGTTGGATTTCTTTATGGTGTTCACTGGTTCTGGCGACGGACTGGTGCAGCCTTCGATCAACAACCTGCAAGATCCCAGTGCTGGGCTCAATTGGGGGTTCGTGGAGCTGACGCTGACCCCGGAAGGCGTCATCTGGGCCAATATTAGTTTCGTCGACTTTGTCGGCCTCGTGTTTGGAATGCGACTAGTGGACCGCGACGGCCGCGTGCAGGAGGTTCTCGGCTTGCCAGCGGGTGCTGTGGACAGCATTTGCAATGAACTGCGTGTCCAAGGGGATATCGACGGGCGACCTTGGGCAGCGCACTGCATCGAGGGACCCACGGGTGGTCCATTGCGCGTTGTCTCGCCGAACAACTACGCCACGATAAATCCAGGAGCCTTCGCCGATTACTGGACAGTCTATGCTGATGAGGTGTGGCGGCGGTACGCAAACCAGCCTCTATACATCAACACGCAAAATGATAACGGCGTAGTGGAGTGTCGCGTCACGGGCGACACTCTGTCATGCGACGGCGACAACCGTGGCTACGCGAGACCCGAAGCTGTCGACATTTGGGGCTGCAATAGCGGGCCATTTGGCATCCGACAGGGTGATAATGCCGTTCACTACGCCGTGGTCCCACGGCTCTGCGCTGCCTTTGTCCGGACGACACTGCTGCTTGTTGGAGGTGACCTGCAGCCGGGAGTCGAGGCACGCGACTATTATACGCAGGATCCAACTTCCCACTACAGCCGCATCGTACATGAGCAGGAGGTGGATGGACGGGGCTATGCATTCCCGTATGATGACGTGAACCCTGATGGTGCTGAGGATGCTGCAGGTCTCGTCGCGTCGGGCAACTTTGATGTGCTGAACTTCTTCATCGGGGGCGTCTAGATGACCCCTCATGCGAGTGGGGCTCGTAGGGCTAGTAGATGTATCAAGTTGAAATCAATCATCCGGGCCGTGGCCGGGTCTCTATTTCATCTCTCTAAGACGCGTCTATGTTCTATGTGTATCGCCTGTGAAGGCCGTCTCGCACAGTCTAGTTCTTGACCCAGCGCATGTTGCCCTTGATATCAGGGTCGTTCTCGACGTAGTGCAGAGTGCCGAAGACGGACCACAGCTGGCCAAGGAAGCTGCGGTCGTCCCGGATGTACAGGTCACCGAGCAGAGGCTTCATGGCCTCGGTGGCCTCATCAGCCTTGTAGAAGGGGATGCGGCTGCGACAGTTAGCGACAGAATGACCCAGCGAAGTCCGTCGTGCAACTTACGGGAAAAGGTGGTGCACAACGTGCTTCTCAATGATGCCGTGGAAGAGGTGCTTGCCAATGAAGCCAAACTCGCGGTCGACGGTGGCAAGGGCGCCCTTGACGAACGTCCAGCCCTCCTCGTTGAAGTGGGGGACATCAGGGTGGTTGTGGTGGAGATAGGTGATGGCAACTAAACGCATGTTAGCAGGAGTCTCATAACAGCGAAGGTAGGCGAGACTAACCCAGCCAGTGGTGGACCCAGAAGTAGGGAACAGCATAAAGGAAGAGAACAGTCGAGAGATCCAGGGCCTGAGTGGCGTAGTAGAGCGCGGTGAACATCAGGGCAAGGCCGACGTCGGTGATGGCGACGTAAAGGACCTCGCTGGAGCGGAAGACGGCGCTGGTCGGCTCAAAGTGGCTGACATGGAAATACTTGCCGAGACCAGACGGCTCGCTCTGCTTGCTACCCTTGCCAGCGGTAACGTTGAAGAACAGGTATGCCTGCCAACCGAAGAGCTGGTGGAAGATGAGGGGCACAAGCTGGGCAAGGGGGGTGTCCTCGAAGAGCTCGTGAAGGTTGAGGTTGGCGAGGAACGAGGGCAGGCGCGAAACGGGGGCCTTGGTAGCGGGAACGAAGGCCATGTCCTTGTTCATGTGGCCGGTGAAGCGGTGGTGGCGGTGGTGCGAGAACTTCCAGGAGAAGTAGGGCACCAGGAGGAAGGAGTGGAGGACCCAGCCAACGCAGTCGTTGAGCCTGGTGTGCTTGGAAAAGGCACCGTGTCCGCACTCATGTCCGAGAATCCAGACGCCGGTACAGACGAGGCCCTGCACAAAGCCATAGGCCATCCAAGCGGCGAAGCGCAGGTACGCGTTAGGAATCGTAGGGATGAAGGTCAGGGCGGCCCAGACGAGACCGGTGACCATGGAAAGGTCGCGGAAGACATAGTAGAAGGACGTCCATAGCGATGGCTCGAAACAATGGGCGGGTATGGTGTTTCGGATGGTTTGAATGTCGGGGAAGACAGGCGCGGATTTCTAGCGAGAGGGCCAAAGGTCAGCCATTGAAAGTGCAACGAGGGCTTTTAATGCTCGAACTTACCTGCGGCTGGAGGACCACGGTCGCGGTGGCCGTGGTCGTGGAGGTGCGCTGGCGGGTGACGGTCGCCATTGTGGTGGTGGTGAAAGCTGTTAGTGGGTGAACAGCAGAGAGATGTGTCAAGACGAAGAGATAGGAAGAAAAGGGGAGAAAGGGGAAGAGCTCGATGTTGCCAGCGGCGGCGCAAAGAAAAAGGCTTTTTGCAAGACCCTGACTCCCTGAGGAGGCAACCCGTGCATGTGCTTGTACCTCGCCTACGAATGTGCCTGCCAGTGCCCGTCGTACCTCTGCCGTACCTCGCAAGGTTTCTTGCCTGTCTGAGAAGAGCCGGCGAAAGCTGCCCTGTGGGGATCGACGTCTCGTCTCTGTTGTCGAGGGCGGTCAAGGGATAAGGGCACCAAGCAAAGGGCCAAGCTCCTCCAGCGACCCATGCAGACCCATGGGAGCAGGAGTGCCCCTTGTGGATCGATCTGAGTAAGGGCCCATCGAATGCTTAAGGCGAAAAGGGGAAGCGTTCTTCGTTCTGACTCGGAGGAGGCATGATGCGATTTTCCTAAGGTAAGATACCAGTTGCACAAGCCGGGGTCTCAAGTATTGGGTTTCGCTGCTACGATCTGGCGCCTCGATCTAGCTGTCATCGACGAACACCATTCGCACGCTGCTATTCACTCACGGGCAAGGGAACGCAGAATTGGGTGTGTGCGAGACCGAGACCGATGCGTTTGTGCCTGTGGCAGACAACGACAGGAGAGGGCAGGCATGCGAACTTGTTGAGGTGAGAGGAGCCGAGGTGGATGACCCGCAGGCGATCCCACGTCCCAAGCCGAAGCAGTTTGTCGCTTAACCCCCCGCGCTAGCCAGTACAGGACTAGACACGCCTGGACCTAGACTTTCGCGGCGAGATTTTCAGGGGTCCTGACCTAAAAGCGGAGCCTCCCATGATAAGGGTCTACTGGGCCCGGTGGGTTTTTCCACCAGGGGCGGGTCCCAACCCCAACAATTTTGGCTCTTTCTCTTCTCTTTTTCTCCTCCTTCTCTCCCTTCTTTTCCTCATGGCCTCCCCTTGTTGTTCTCTTGCTTTTGCACAGGGCAGCGACTCAGGCCCTCAGGCCCTCCGACGCTGTGAATTCGGCCAGTCGCCATTGGTTGGATACTTTTCCTCCGGCAGCTCGTTGAAACGGACGGGGTCGTGTTCCAAAAATCTGGGTCCTCATCACATGCCACCAGGTCCGTCGCCTCGCAAGAGACACGAAAGGGCCTAATGCGATGCGAACCTCTACATGTAGTGCACCGCCGGTTGTCGGCACCACACGCCGGACCAGTCAGGGGATTTCGGCTGCCGCTTCTGTGCATGTACATGTACGAGGACATTGCATCAAGTAGGGCGGTGAGTCGACGGATGAGCAAATCATCCAGTAAGCATGGAAGAGGCATGATCGCCCCGGTCTAGGCGTGTCTAGGTGTGGCTTCCATTTGGCCGGGTTGCCAAGCTTGCTTGTTCCAACAGAGTTGGCTGTCACATTTAATCACAGCAGACGAGTCTAACTATTAGTCGCGCTCACAGAACATCAGTGCATAGTCTTGAAGCAACCCAGGCCAACCGGTTCATTCCAGGCTCCTGATTCATCTTAATGTATGTCGCGCATTACCAACAGGTGATCGCCAGTTGTTTGCCTACTTTCGGCGTATTTTTGGCTGTTTGATTGCATTATACGAATCCTTGTCTGAGCCACCTCCAGTTCCCCTTCACATGTCAGCGGAGAAAACCCACCCAGTCGAAACTTCAAGGCTGCTTCAGGAGTAACAAAGCTGCAAAAGCCGTCCAGCTGTCGCCCGCAGGTTACGATTAATCGCCTCACTATGACTTCTGTTTTCTAGGCGTCAGGCTGACAAAGTGTGTCTCTCTACTTGCGCCTTTGTTTAGAGGGCGCTCACAATAGACAGATATGAAAGCTTGAGTCCGAGGCTTGCAAGGTTGTTCCTGCAGGTGGGGTCTCAATCTA